GCATGCGTGCTGAATTCCTTTCGCCAACGTACGTAGTAGCCAATCGCGCTAATCGGAGGTGCGGGAATTAAGCAGGACGGCCGCTGGATTGGAACCGCAAAACCTGTGGAGCAAGAGGCGGACCGCGCGACTGCTGATCCGTGTTGCTGCCGTGTCAGGTCTGTGCTGCAGCCCGCGCTGCTGCTTTGACGTCAACGGATCCAAATTAATTGACTATTTTCGCCAGCAGAGAACGCTAATTGGAGCCGCGTATTAATGTCGATCATTATCAAGATCTTACAATTATCTCTCGGCTTTTCTTAGTCGTGCTCTTGTGAAATATAATTGATAAATATCACACGAGTTGCCTTGTCCCAGCCTCCGCTCGCAGAGATGCGCTTTTATGAGAAAAGAACACTTGATTAATGACAATCGAGCTATGAAAATGCTATTACACCGATTAACAAGTTGTGACATGCTGGCGAGTGTTCTTTGTGTAAAGGGACGTCAAATTATATTTCTTTATCTGGATGGCGCTGTCACAATGCAGAACTCTGCAACAAAGAATTGCGGATAATAAAACGGCTGCTGTGAAAAGTCCCCAACGGCCGTCCTGTGGAGGCAGCGGTCTTCACGTTGTCACAGGAATGTGGAATTTACACGGCTGGCCCCAGGCTGCCAACGGAGATGAGCAATGCTCCCCGCTTGCACGAACGCGGCGGAGTTGTTCTCAAATTATCATCCAGAGCCATGAATCAACCGCGCTCATGGTTTCGTCCCTGCGTTTGTCACCTCACAGAACCATTTTCTAAAATGTCAGCCTGACCCTGTCCAATTCCGGACGGCTGATCAAACGTAATCAGCAGCGACAAAGTCTCCCGGTTCAAATAGGCACGGGGCGGTGCTCATCCTCACGAGTTCAAACTGAGCGAGCAGTGGAAATTCAAACTCCTGGCAGGGTCCGCTGCATTCCATACGACAACTATGCGACAACCACTGCTGACTTCGCATGAATGTTGTGCTTAATTAAGTCGATGATGATTGTAGATTTTATAACAGCAATCCCAATCTTCTTCTTTTGCATGGCATGTAAGCAATCGTTTGTATAGATGTCATAGTTGAATGTTAAGGTCCTTCAACCATTCCAAGGCGGCAGGAGACGCTGTACGGATACCGCCAGGGTGTGCATGGATGTGTTTGATGGTTTGGGCTTTACCATAGTCGCAGTTTGGTGATTCTTTGATTTTCAATTTAAGATGCATTATTTGGTGAGACTGCATTGGACAGTGGTGCAAAAGCAGAGGCAACCAAGAAACGAAATCAACACAATTTGGCAACGACATTGCCCTCAAAGGAAAACATATGACGAGCGACGTTTGGGCAATGGGCATTCTTCAGAAGACATGGTTAGAGAGAGTGGTGCTCTCATCGACGACGGGATTTAGAAGACCATTCCCTCGACGAAACATATATTATTTTTTACACTGAATTTTTTGTTAAAGAGGACTATTTCCTTTAAGCTCTTCATCCCAGGGTCTCCCTCGTCGTCGAAGGGGCAACTGCTGTCTCAATGCACTCGCTGCGCACACACAATTACGGGTGAACGCGAAGGAGCGATAGTTTGAGATATGTGCACGACTGACTCCCGCACCATTCCACATGTCTGCTCATTCGGTTAACGAATATTATTGCAGACTTTTCAAATGTCCTATTGGTGTTTAAACGCCGTGCGTTTTTTTGTTGAACGGTAGAATGTAAGAAGCCTGTAATTTGAAGATACGCACCTTCTGAGAATAAAAAAAAGCATGCACGTAAAAAATTGCCCTGCCAACATTGAGCACGGTTAAATAGGGGAATTAAAGATGACATCGGAGACGTGAAAGAACTACTTAAATGCTTTAAAACATCTGGGACGGAGGAAGAACGAGGAAAAAATATGTACGATTTCCATTAAGTGGAGCCAGAGAGAAAATTACAGCAGTCGACTGAGGAATGGAAAACGAAATTGCAGATGGTTATAAAGATAACCCTTAATACGTCCTCGGATATATCGGTGGAAGGAGAACTGCTTGTGTGCAGTTGGGCCAATTAAATGAAGCAAATGGAAATATAAAGGGGGAGCGAGAATCCAAAGAGGGGACACACAGCGGTGGGAGTGGAGGCATGACATCCCATGCAACAATTAGATTTTTAATCTTTGGAAAAGCATTTGCTTTGGTAATTAAAAATATATATATCTCCCGCCCATTCCTCACGATTTCGGCCATAATTGTGAAATTATAATCATGCAGCGAGACGGAGGACCCGTTCTGATCTCTGGCAGAGCAGCGCAACCGATCGTGATAGAGGAAGGCCCAAGGAAGCGGACTTCACAGAGCTACCTCTGAAAGCCCTTCAAGTGACCCATGTACGACACTGTTGGGGGCAGCGCGCTTCCCACCTGCTCTGCCACCGAGAGTGACGTGCATCACGTGACAGCACAACTGATATTTCAATGATCAAATATGGAATTTAGCCAAATTAAGTTCACTACCAAATCTTCTGTGATTGATTGTTTTCGTCGTGTTTGGAGTCATTCATTGGTGGCTAGGCTGAGATCGTCAATGCACTACACTTGAGAAACAATTTAATCAGGGGTGTCTACCCAAATTCAAACCTAGAGTCTCAACAGCTTCGCTTCATCTTCTTGGTTCTTTCGGTAAAGTCTACGTGACTTTACCGAAAGAACCAAGAAGATGAATCCCTGCAGTCACGAAAGCTTTAAATCGAAGCTTCACTTCAGTGCTCTGACCTCTAAGCTATCCAGCAACCGCCCGATATCGACAAAATGCAAAGTTCGCGAGGAGGAAGGCGAGAGGAGAGGAGGAGGAGGCTTGCGTGAGTGGAAGGATGAGACCGAGACTACTTATGCTAAAGGTGAGACTGCGAGTAGCGAAGACTCTTCTATCTGGGTCAGAAGGACCAAGAGCAATAGGTCGTCGCCTACACTACCTCGGTACGGTTGCCGGCCACTGCAAAGCAAACTTCGGGAAGTGGGGCCCATCTCGACCAGGCCTGGAGCACCAGGTGCATCAGATGAAGCTTCCCTCATCTCGCTCCACCGTCGTCTGTTAGAGGAGCCATGCACAACTGATGATTCAAGCATCCGATATTGACTGCACGATGGGGGGGGGGGGGGGGGGGTCCATGCCTCCCACAAATGGCCGTCATTGACTTGACTAAGTTGATTCGATGGACAGAAAATGAATGAACCAGCCTTGTCTGGTTGCCAGAGGTCGAAGAGAGGTCACTGCTCAATTTGTGTTAATGAACGTCTCCTTATCATAGATATACCGGGTGGTCCATTTATAGACACCCCACTAAAAATAATCGAGGGAAATTATCTTTAAAAAAAACATGTTATTTCAGGTTATAAAAATTACTCTCGTCAGTCTCAATAAACAATTATATCTTGTAACACTCATTTAAGACACGGAACCATCGCTTTCACAATATTCAATCAGCTGCTGCTAACAAAGTCAGAGGGGCATTCGAAATCAGGGGTATCTGTAAATGGATCGCTCTGTGTATATAAAACCACGAGCCGGGACATGCTCCCGACAAATGTCTCAGGGCCCTATATAAACATGGGGCCCATCTGACGCCGAGGAAGCCTTTAATCAACGTAAGGCAACAGAGAGGACTGGAAATAGAGGTGAGGAGTTAGGTAAACGTAGATATTTTTTTCATATTATAGTCTTTAAAACAGATCAAGTCGGTGGGACAATGCGAGCAGTTGGACGGGTCTCTTCGTGAGAGATGATTGCAAATGGTGGAAAACGTCAGTTTGTAAACATGACGCTAAATCAAAACTATTGTTTGTAATATTTCAAATGTTAATATATTGATCGTATATATCTTCATTACATGATAGTGTATATTACAGGACTTTGCCCTATGTGTGTTTTTTTTAAATCAGAGACAGCGTCACACTGTTTTGAAATGTATTTGACAACATTGGTTAAGAAAAAAATACGGTTTCATATTTGGTTCCAGCGGCATTATTGTAAGCCGTGGTTAAACAAAACAAGGTTGGCCATTGTTTACTGCCCATACCTTCTAGGAACTTGGTTTTCAGTTGTGTCATGGGCATAAACTCAACAGCCATTGTGGCAGATTTTAGCTTCATATCCCTTTCTTCTAAAACATCATGAGACTTAACAGTCAGTTGATCTATTCGTTATCCGTCAGTTGTGACCGTCCATAGATGATATTTTTTACATTCTATTAATTTATAAATATATAACGTATGGTATCATCTTACATTAAATCGTACGTTTGTAAATTTAAAGTTTTCATTTTATATTAAATCTCGTAAAAATCTTTCCACCTTCCCCGAGGCAAGAGAGTGCTCTATTGTTCGGACCAAAATTTCGTACAGTGTTTCTAAATCTAAATAAAAGTCGCCTGTTTTGCTTATTTGTCATTTGGCTCATCCTTGTTTCTCGAGTTAAGCAATCACACTTGAATCTTGAACTCCAGCTGCACCCACTCGGCTCCCATGACACCGAACAACCCCTTCGAACCAAGAGCCACGGCCCAGAACTGCCGTTTCTTTTCTCGCGTACGACGCCAGCGATACGTTCAGAAGCTATATGCCAATGTGGAGATCTGCCCGCCACGAGAGGACTTCAGGAGCGAGTTCGTGGTAGGGTTTTTTTTTGCTCTTCCTCCGTTGAAGGTGCACGGTCTACAGTCGTTGACCATGCGGTCCGTAGCTTGGGTTGCACGGCCACAATCGCACTGTGGCTCGTCCTTCATTTGACACTTTTGCGAGAGGGCAGCCTCCTCGCGGTGGCCCACCTGTCACGCGTTTACCGTGTCGACTTAATCCGCGACTAACACCGGAGAAATGAACATCGTCAAATTCGAACACCAGATACGGTCGGTAGAGCTAGCACCGCGTGTACAAAACCAAGATGGCGCTGACGGCGCTCTCTTCCCCCCCCCCCCCCCCGCGTGCAGCGTGACGGTCGACTCACGTGGGATCTTGTTGAGCTCGTTCATGAACTTGTCCTTGAGTTTGCTGAAGGCGTCCCCCTTGTTGCCGCCGGCCTCCGTGCCATTCCCGGACGGCGCCAGGGCCGGAGCTTCGGAGGCGGTGGTGGCGGCCGTGCCCGGGGGCACCACGGCCCCTTGCATCGCCGCGTTCATCGCGGGGCCGTCCTGGTGGCGACGGCGGCGGTGGGGGTGGTGGAGGCACGGGAGAGGGTGGCCGGGCGAGGAATGGTGGCTCGAGCTTCCTTCACTTGCGGTGTCTTTAACTCTGCAAGACAGATGAGACAACGGTAATTTTGAACGGGCATAAACAAGAATTTCCACTGGCACAACCGAGCCGGGCCAGCGCGGAGCCCTTCCGGGACTGGTGGTTTTCCACTGGCTATTTGCAAACCCAAACCGTGATGCACACTGGCCTCACAAGACATCATCATCCAGCAAGGCCAGGGGCCGGACTAATGAGACGTTCATCTCCAATCATCGCCCTGCACCACTGTTGGGAGTTTTACATCACCATTGCTATGGCAGGGTCTAGTATCAAGCCACTCAACAAAATGTGAATCTCTAACAAGTGTGACTCAATGTTTCGCTGCTGGAAGGATAACGGTTGGAGAGGAACCTCGATCGGGATCTTAACTTCGGTGCTTCCAAATTCGAGGTGGGTGCTCTGCGAAAGCCTCACACGGTACTATTTATCCTCAAGTAAAGCTGCAACGGTATTAGTGTGGCCGTGAAGAGACGTAGCAGAGCACCTGCGTCACTGTCAGACGACCACGAGTTCAAATCTTAGTTGGCGGTAAATTCGGCCCATCGCCTTCCAGGGTCAAAGAAGATGTGTTCTACTATGTGAGAAGTCATGTGTGTTCTACTATGTGAGAAGTCAACTGAGACAATTTAGCTGCTGCTCATTAGACCACGAATGCACTCTTTTGAATTATATATGCAGTATGTAGAGAACTCCACGCACGTGATTTATTGGCTGTGTTGGTGATTTAACCTTAGTCGCACGCAGGCAGTGAAATGGACTGAGAAATTAGTTTTGAGAAAAACAAACTCTCACCAAACACAAATACAAAGACATTAACACGTACAGCGATTCCATTAGCGGAAGACAGACCCCCAATACCAATGAGATTCTTGAGAGGAAATGCAGCCAACAAAAGTTGTAATGAAGAAGTCTCTTTCGAAGGTTTTCATCAAAAAGTCAGCTCTAATTTTTTTTTAATTTTGCATCACACTGGCGATGGCAGTGGTGCACAAACACGAATGACAAAACACCCAACACGTCCGTCCATAGCACTCCCCCAAAATGAAAAGTTGTAGAGCCGTTCACACTTCAGGCAATGCCCCTTTATTCATCGTGGAGAGAGCTACCATGATAACTGAATCAAGTTTACCAGCAATGAAGAAGGACCATTGCCAGAAACGTCGCCGAGTATATATATCTATGTTTGCACTCATTTTAAGGGCATTGTTATCGCCGAATGCTTCGAGTTATAAACAGAAGCTGACATAAAACAACAACAACAACAACGGTGCTCACGATTTTGACGCGGTTACACATTTTGTTGGCGGTAAAATACCAACCGGCGTTTAACCTCGAATGCTCGCACTTTCAGTTTACTTCGTGGAAGAAATGTCTCTCTTCTCGGAGGTGCATGGCTTGGTGCTCATTTCCGTTCGTGAAAATTCAACATTCACACGACAGGGTCCGTTTTTTTTAAACATCATTATTCTCATTATTGAGCCGAACCCCCTGTTGATGTCTCTCACTGTGGTGGCCTCATTTGGATATCCCCCGAAGGGTGATTGGGCCAAGTCAACTTCCGTCCCGGATTTCTTTTTTAAAATTTGTTAAATTTTTTTCTGATTGCGAGCGCAAATAACGTTCTCATTCTGCGCTGCGTGTGCTTGACTATCGTTTGATGGCGAGCGGGAACGCTGTTCGGAACACCGACGTTGTTAGGAACTCGTGAGCTGCATGTAACAAAGGACATTGCTCCAAAACATGCATCCACTTGCTCAGCGCACATCCAATTACAGTTCTACAATTTACATTGTGCGAGCCGTACACAGTGCCAGCACTGAACGCTCACAAAAGTGTTCTGACGCGCGCCAACTCCGGCAAATTTAACAATAACAAAACGAATATTGCCTCTCCAACCCTATTTTCCAGTTTTCTAATCTCCGTGTCAACAGACCACAGATACCTGCCATTGTTATTTAACGAAGGAATTATTTTCAAAATCCATTCTGCATGCTCATAAAAATAAATGTATGCAAATGGCAGCATTAAAGCACGGGTTCCTGTGATGAATAAAGCTTTGCCGGTTTTCGCAAACACATTACTTTTCATTAGGATTTCATCAGTTTTGACTCTAAGCCACAGGCTGATGAGCAAGACTGTGTGCGCGTTGCAATCACCCAGACGGTTCTGCGCAGCCAAATGTAAACAACAATAATAATGAAAGCTTACAGTCCATTTGTCAATTCACTGCTGCAAAGAGGGCCTCACCCGTGTTGTGTTGGTCGTGGAGGTGGTGCGGGTGTTATTGCTCTCCAACCTGGTGGTACCCGTGGGCAGAGGAATCAAACTCAGGTTGCGCAGATGTATTGCACAGGTGTGCTCACTGCTCCGAACGCCTGTGTTTTGGTGACGGTGGTTGCCCACAGGACCGGTTCACAATTTCACCCGTCACTCAACGTTAGCCGTGGCCAGGAGTCGAAATTAGCCAGAAATCGTTCTCGATTCTTAGCGTGGAGCAATATCCATTCTGCCTCCACCCCCTCCCCCCTTTTCAAAATAATAACAATGTTATGATAATAATACAAATAAGCAATGATATATGTATTTTGAGCTTCTTTCGCAGCCGTACCTAGCAAACCGTGCTAATCGGAGGTGCGATGAATAACTCGAGAATCATATCCATCGATGTGGATGTGATTACACTCGCACGCTCGCTCGCTCGCACGCACGCACGTGATTCGGTCGATGTAAAACGCCAATGATTCGAAGATCCCGAGTTGAGTTCGCGGCTTACAAGCCATACCTAACAACGTGTCACGGTTGATGATCTCAGCCGGTCAATTCCCTCCCCGACAGACAGAGAGAGAAAAAAAACCCAACTCATCCCGAGGAGCTGATGCTCCAATTTTTTTTTTATTTTTTAGCATTTGCGCTGAAATGAAGTCACACCACACCCCCAGCTGCGAAGGCGTGAACCGTGAATTTCGTCAGCTGAAGACCGAAGCATTACCAGAGGTGTGCCAATCAGAGATTCATTGAGCAGTTGATTGGGGGGTGGCTACATCATCCACCTCTGGGAGGGGGTTGTCCAGATTCAGGGCTGTTGGGGTGGGTGCGCGGAGTGAAGGGATGACGTTTGACGAGTCAAGCCATATGCACGCACAGAGGTGGGGAGGTTGGTTACTTTTGAAAAGTCCAAGTCAAAGTGACGTCCTCATGTTGCGCAAATCAGCATTGAGGCGTTGCTCATCTCCCGTTCAGAGCCCTGAGCCAGTGGTGGGGATTCCACGTTCCTATGGCGGGCATGAGCCAATCAGAGATTCATTGAGCAGTTGATTGGGGGGTGGCTACATAATCCAACTCTGGGAGGGGGTTATCCAGATTCAGGGCTGAGTAGCTGTGCTGTTGGGGTGGGTGCGCGGAGTGAAGGGATGACGTTTGACAAGTCAAGCCATATGCACGCACAGAGGTGGGGAGGTTGGTTACTTTTGAAAAGTCCAAGTCAAAGTGACGTCCTCATGTTGCGCAAATCAGCATTGAGGCGTTGCTCATCTCCCGTTCAGAGCCCTGAGCCAGTGGTGGGGATTCCACGTTCCTATGGCGGGCATGAGCCAATCAGAGATTCATTGAGCAGTTGATTGGGGGGTGGCTACATAATCCAACTCTGGGAGGGGGTTGTCCAGATTCAGGGCTGAGTAGCTGTGCTGTTGGGGTGGGTGCGCGGAGTGAAGGGATGACGTTTGACGAGTCAATCCATATGCACGCACAGAGGTGGGGAGGTTGGTTACTTTTGAAAAGTCCAAGTCAAAGTGACGTCCTCATGTTGCGCAAATCAGCATTGAGGCGTTGCTCATCTCCTGTTCAGAGCCCTGAGCCAGTGGTGGGGATTCCACGTTCCTATGGCGGGCATGAATCTTATCCTCAGGACAAGCGCTGTTTATTTCCCCGCAAAGCAGTACTTATTGTATGGATAATCAAGGTTTTTGGGTGAGATCGTGTAAATATGAACGCGTCGTTAAACCCGCCAGCACACACTGGAATTGTAAATGTTGTGGCTTTACTTTCCAACACACCGGTGTGCTGTACTAGTAACGAATTGGCACGTTTTGTTTACGTGACAACCCTTACTAGTTGGCTGTGTTGGGTGGTGGCCGGTTTAACGACACATTTTTGTGCGTGCTTTAACCCAAAAACCTTTATTATCGATAATATTGGTCGCGAAAGCCGACTACGTGTTAAACTTATTGTGTGGGCCCTGGTGGGATGATGAGCCGAGTCAACCAGGAGCTGAACTTCGCGACGTTTCCGAATGCAAGTCGCTCGCTCGCTCGATCGCTGAGCCACCTTTACAGAGCGACGTACTGGGGTTTAATGAACTTAGTACGAGAGTTTAATAGGTTTAGTACTAGAGTTTAATGGGTTTAGTACTAGAGTTTAATAGGTTTAGTACTAGAGTTTAATGTGTTTAGAACGAGAGTTTAATGGGTTTAATACGATAGTTGAATGAGTTTAGTACTTGAGTTTAATGAGTTTAGTACCAGAGTGTAATGAGTTTAGTACTAGAGTTTAATGGGTTTAGTACTAGAGTGTAATGAGTTTAGTACTAGAGTTTAATGGGTTTAGTACTAGAGTTTAATGGGTTTAGTACTAGAGTTTAATGAGTTTAGTACTACAGTTTAATGACTGATGACTCGTGGAGTTTTAAATTAAATAAATGACATATAGTAATCCTAAACAGTATACAGTACGAACAATAATGTATAGCCCTTTGTCAATCCGTTCGTTGATGAAAGTCTCCCATGTCTGTCGTTGGGCTTTTCAACCATACTTCACCGTTCTGGTCCGTGCAAGTGGGGACAGTGGGGTGAGTGGGTTGGGTGGACAGGACGAGTTCGGATGACACTCGCCACTGATGTTATCTCCGGCTGGGAATCAAACTCAGGTCACTGGATTCGTAGTGCGGGGCGCTAACACCTGCACCACCGCTCTTCACCGTATCCCATCCGGTAAACGTCCGTCTC